AATTTAAGGGGGTCTGAATACTTTCCGTACCCACTATATATAATTTATGTATTATTATTAAAAGTACATAATTGCTCTTAGTGTAATATATATATATATTACAACGTATTAGTTTGTTTAGGGAAAGCTCTTAGTTAATAGTGAATGTGTTCCCTATTCTTTGATTGATATATTATGAAATAACAGAAATAGAATGAGGAACCCTGTATATAAAAACTACATTGAGTAGTGAACCTTTGTTCCATTTTTGTAGCTTTTTTTTTTTTTTGTCTTTAAAAAAAAAAAGCCAGATAAGTGACCTATATATTTTTTTTTTATTAGAGTTATGTAATATATCTTTTCCTAGTTACATCTTACCAATGGTGTCTTAATTTCTCCTACCAGTATTTGACATTTTAATGTGTTCTTCAGTTGTTTGTCATTTCAAAAGGTTCATGAAGGTTCAGCACATGCTGCCTTTTGCTTCTTGGACAGAGTGCAGGAGAGTTCAGACAGTTCATCTCAATATACATGTACTTTTAACTGAGAGCTCCTCTCCTGCGAGGTTTAGCTGCTAAACTTGAGCTTAATAAAATAAAATTTTATAGAAGTTTGTTCATTTATCATTTGCCTTATACAACATTTTATTCCTAAAAACATGGCTGTTGACAGTATTTTCTGATTTATGGAGTGATAAAAAGAGATGTAAAATGCCCTTTGTAAAAAAAACATCTAACTATAATATGTCAAAAAAAAATAATGTTTTGAACCTGGCTTTATCCTGCATTCAGATTTATATTCTGGAAATGTGTGCATATTTAATTAGATAATGGCAAAACATAACACTTTAGAAAACCTGTTTGTTGTGTAATCAATCGACTGGGGAAGTATGATGATATCTTTTTGTTCAGTTTTTCACCCTATTCACCGGTGCCTTAAAATGTTGTTGGAGTCTCAAACGTTTGTGATAAAAGTGCAAATTTGGCACAAAAGGATAAAGACAAGATCACAGAGACAGAATCGAATCTTGATATTATATGTGTATTATTTACTCAGACACTGTGTATTTGTAACTTTTTTTTTTTTAGCTTAATTTATTCCTTTTTTTCTTAGATTGCAAATATTTAAATAACGTGCACTTTAAATTCATGTTGTCATTTACCTGTCCAATATTTTCACCGTTTTTCCGGATCCTGCAGTCATATCTTGAAGGCAGAGAGAGTGAAGTTCAAGCGATGCATAGGAAAGCAAACGTGAAGAACAAAAACAGCAATATACACTCTACTTTGAATAAATCGATCCTTTAAAGCAATACATTCAAAAAAATTTAAATTCAAAATTAAGATTCAAACATGTATTTTTAATCATTCAAGCAATGAAAACACCAACAGTAATTTGTATTTATTTTTCTAGTGTCTCTTAACCACTTTCTTGTTTTTCACCTCTTGTTCATCATTTTACTTTTTCCTCACCAGGTTGAAGCTTGTCGTCTGTATAGCAAGTTTTCTGCTCGACCAAGCAGCCTTGAGATGATACCAGCCGTAGTTGAAAAAGTAAATATTTAATCTCTTTTAAGTCCCTATGAATTCAAAATTTGAGTTTTGAGGCCATGTGTAAGGTAGTTGACAAAAAAATGCTAATCTTTTAGCAGATATACATATTAGAAATGTACATTTTTAGCATATTTATACATTTAAAATGAAAATTTGAATTGTTTCTCTTAGAGGAAAAAATATAGACGACTCATCTTGTTTAAAGAGATGTACAAATTTGGCCATTTACTGTGATGTTAAGTAAAGGCTGAGCTCTGTGATATGTTAGTTATGTTCAAAGACAAATTGTTTGTTTCACTGTTGTTTTTGTTCACTAAAAAAACATATTTATTATTGAAATAAATCTGAAATAAAATAAAATAGTAGAATTAATAAAATATATAAATATTAGATAAAAAAGCTTAAATGAAAATAAAATAAATTAAATTAAAAATAAATTAAATCTAAATAGAAATAGAGTGTAGCGTCTCGACCAATCTGACACACTAAATTTAATTTGATTTAACAAATCAATTATTCATTAGGTTAACAAATCGTCACAGTCCCCTCACTCAATAAACTGGATGCCAGGATGTCTGCTGAACACCAGGCCCTCTGGTCACCATGACAACTAATCATGATATCACTGGTTTTATGACCCCCCAGGAATGTGAGAAGGATAGCCCACTCTTGTCCCAAGGAAAAGCAGAGTAGAAATGGACTGTGTTCTAGTTAATTCATAGAAAAAACGTTATTTGAATGAACACACATATTTCTTCAGGCCATTGAGTATATTATTGTCATTGTGTATTTTGTCTTTGATATTCTTAGACTATTTTAGTATGCTTGTGAGGGGACCCATTCCTGATCCTCCCTTTTCACTATATGTAATCTTACCTTGTTTAGTATCTATGAATTTGCCTGCTTATGATCGAAACAAGCGTGTATATTATATGGTGGTACATAGGCAATATATATTAGCACCCTGAGAATCGTTAATAGTTTCGATTTAAGTCCATTTGCAAATTACCATGCTTCGAGAACAAAGGGTCATAAACCCTCCAGCAATTGCCACCTCCCGCTCGGAAATTCCATTGTGCTCATTGGACAAGCCCATCTTGAAAGGCGGAGATCTTCTCCGACCTTAAAGGCCCGGCTCCAGGGACCCGCCCCAGTCAGTGGTTCGGTCATAAGCTAAGAAGATGTGAGAAAAACGCTGCAGGATACCAAAGCTTGTGCCAGGCCTTTCGGCCTCGACTTTCCATTCACCAAAGACTCTGACTCAAACTGGTTCTTTTCATCGACCCGAATTCAGCAAAGATCTACGGGAAGCTTTAAGATTTGCATCAGGAATCTCTTTCAGACCGCCGAGACTCGCTAAGTATCAAACTTAGTCTTATTAATTGATACATTAAGTATCAGTTACACCTTTTTACAAAGGTGTGTTTGAACTCAGAATCTGACGTATCCCTGAAGGCTTTGATCTGTTGAATATACATGCAAAGTGTTCCATAAAATCCATTCTTTATGCCTCTTTCTATGCTGAGTTAAACTTTAACCCTTTCCTATACCAACTGTATGTGTGTGTGTGTGTGTGTATGTGTATGTTAGACCGGCTTAATGTGTTTATGTAGTCAGGAAATTAACGTTCTTAAAATTGACAAGACAGTTGACCCTGAGTGGTCAGCTAAATATCTACAGTGGATCTAAAATATGAATAGTTAATTATAACTAGTTATGGTTAATTATTCATATTTCCCCATGAGCTGATTCGCTACAAGAGTTTTATTAAAAAAAAGATTAAATAAAACTAATAAAAAAAGAACTGAAGCACAAAAAATTACTCAAACTTAAACTGTAATTTAAATGAAAACTGAAAATGTAAAAAATAGAAGCCAATTCAAAATATTTGTAAAAAAGTGAATAAAACTTTGTTTGATAATTGAATGAAGTCTTAAAAAAAGCATGTTTCTAAAGTAGGCCGATTATACTATATACTATGCAATGTCATTTAAGATGCTGTTTATTATTATCTTTTAAATTAGATTTTATTTTTTATATTTTCTTTCTTATATATTAGTTGGACTGTTTGTGTTTTTGTCAGGCTGTAAGTTTATGGCCGTCCAGGAGCGTCCTACATAGACATAGCTGGAGACATGGTGAATGCCAAAATAGACCGGGCCAGTGTCAGGTGAGTTTTATGTAGACTAGATTGAAATATGCAAAATGGCTTTTAGGTTTGTTTCCTGCTGTCCTGCTCCTCCTGTGAGTCAGGCTGACAGCAGGGAGATCACACAGGCTGTCAGGCTGCTCAAAGCGGCTCAGAGACCTCTGATCATCATCGGCAAAGGTGAACAGAATAGAACTGTTTAAATGAAGGGTAACTTGCTGAAACTGATCAAAACAATGTTGAACTGTGATCTGGTGCAGGTGCCAGGGCTGAGAAGGAGGTCAGGGAGCTGGTGGAGGTGACTGGGATCCCTTTCCTTCCCACGCCTATGGGGAAAGGAGTACTGCCGGATGACCACCCTAATTGTGTTGCTGCAGCCAGGTCCAGGTGTGCATATGTATCTGAATGATCTTTCCAAAATCTCTTTTCGATGGACTGGTGTGATGCATTTCTCTCTCTGCTATAGAGCTTTATTGCAGGCTGATGTTATAGTGTTGCTGGGTGCCAGACTCAACTGGATCCTGCACTTTGGTTTTCCACCCAGATACAGTCCCCATGTGAAGATCGTTCAGGTTAGTTACACCCTGGACACTTAGTAAGTTTCCGCACCTTTGCAATAAAGACTTGCTATAAATGACTAAATGATCTTCCGTTCATCTTCAGTGTGGCATGTTGTGTAAATTTGTTCAGGTGGATCTGTGTGCTGAAGAGTT